AAGAGAGTCAGTCCCTGCCCGATCATCAGCGTCAGCATCAGTGGACGTTCAAAAGACGGTGGAACACTGGTCTCAATGCTCATCACCAGGGACAATCTCGATACTATCACCGAGTACCCTTCCTACCTTAGCCGCTATGGATACAGCGAATGGCTGGAGATCAAGCAAGCCATTCAGCGATCCAAGTCAATACATAAGCCGATTATCGAAGACATCATCAACGATCTCATCAAACGGATATCCAGGTATGTCGCAGTCCCTGACAGGCCCTCTCTGAAGAAAGGTGGAAAGAAGAAGAAGAAAAAACTCTCTAATCCTAATGATGGACCATTCCTAAGGAACGAACATGAAACAAGGTTCTCCTTAGATGAAATTCTGAAGTAACATGAGAGTATAGATATTTCTATGCTAAATCTCGACTTGCCAGACAAGGGTCCCTATGCACCCAACTCTGTGCATTTCAAACCCGAGTCAGGAGTTATATTTCTTGACTATGAAGGTGAAGTTAGATTTCCGAGAATGTCAGAGCTACATCTATGTCCAATGGGTCATTTGGTTTACCTCTTACTCTGGATAGATGTAGCATGCCTGGAAAAGTCGTGGACTTGAAGATACAAAGAGAATGCCTACGTCGAAAGAACCTTGGTGAAGATGTACCTAGCTGCATAGATCTAAGTGTCTAGATTAGTTTCTCTTTGTAATGTTGTTCAATTTTCCTTGTAAATCTATTTACTATGTCTACTTTCAGTGATTATTCTTCTAGTCTGTAAGTATTAGACATGTACTGAACTACTTGTAATATTTCCAATGATAATAATATGAGTATTTCTTGTACTTCACTGAAAAAGATCCCTGAAAAAAAGTAACAGGGACACAAGTCTATGAGTTCCAGAGTTACTTTTTACATTCACTGACAATCTATAAGTTAGTGAATAAGCTTTCAGTTTCAGTTTCCATCCTTGTAATTTTCTTTTAAATATGACTTAAGAAAAATCCTTAAGCAAAGACTGAATCATTGAAAAAGATCCCAAAATAGTAAAAAGGGACATGTACTTTATATGTAACTTTTCCTTACTGTTATTTAATTAGACAACTTTCTTTATGTTGTCTTGTTATCATCAAATAGGGGAAGATTGTTGATTATCTCTCTCAGTGATTTGATGATAATCCCTTTTCACTTATACGAAGTATTTGTGTTTCTGTCTTTTCAGTTCCAGCGATCTTCACTGAGCCTGTTCAGTGATCGCTGAAGAACTTGTATTGTAATTCAATCAGCGACAACGATACTTCAAGAAGACAATACTTACACCAAAGAACCTTCAACTAATGTCGAAGACTGAAACTGAAGATTAGAGACTGGCGAGTACATGATCTGAAGCGGTACTAAGTGATTACAAGTCTGTCTACATATGTGTGAAGACTGCTCAAGCCTCAGCGAATGCTAAAGAGACCTCCAGGTTATTCCAGCATTCAACGATCGAAGGAAGCTTGACATGCACGATTGTTGTTGTCTTGTCCTTATACACACAAAGGACAAACCCTTACCCTTTGTAAATGTTAGTACGGTACGGAGTCGACTAGTTGACTCTATTACCCATCAACTTTAGGTAAGGATGTCTGCTCATGAATAGGCTTTTTGTACTATTCACTATAGCAAATGACAAGCCTTCCTCTTAAGGCTTGATACGCACTCTAACCCTACCATATTGCATTAAATGTGCATTTAATGCAATGAGTATAAATAGAAGTGTTTCTTCTCCATGCAGAGTGCGCGCGCAACACACTCTCTTAACCTAATTCTTATTTTGAGCATTCTTGAAGCTTAAGTAAAAGAACTAGCATATATTTTCTTATTTGCTAAGATTCTGTGTATAACCACAAATTGTTTAGATACGTTTTTTCTTACCTTATCTTTCCGCAAACAGTCTTGTAAAATTTATATTGATCTTCTTTTATTAATATATATTTTAAATTTGAAAATCTTGTGTTTGTATTCTCCCCCCCCTTCTACCAACTGTTATACATATCTTGTAGACCCTCAAGAGACCAACATAAATATTAAAAATAACTAGTATTATTAATTGAATCATTTTAGATCAAAATTGATTTTAAAGTCATATTACAAAAATGGTAGAAAAAGTTTATTTGACAAATAGAAGAGATAAAATAGCTAAAAAGATTTAGAGGTTGTTCGGTTGTTTTATTGTTAAGTCTTATATAGATTTAATTGTCTGAATAAATTAGGTTAAACTGTTATTTAATTGTTATGCTGAATAAATATTAACTTGCTATCAAATAAAAGTCAGGTTCATATGAAAACAATAACTAAATAAAAGAATATGAAAACAACTGAATCACATTTGATTTTATAATATCATGTTTAAAATTACATGTGATCCTCAAAACTTTGACTTGAGAACGCATTCTAGATCGTCCACTCATTCTATTATCAACTGTGTTTCATAACTACATATAAAATTACATATAACTAGTATGGGAATCACACGTTGCGCGGTAGTATGAGTACTTTGATTAATGATTTGAGGATTGTCTATATAAATATATATTGATTGTTAATAGAATCATCAACAAATCGTATTCAAATAATTCGAAAAAGTTAAATAAAATATAGTTAGTGAAATTTTAATATATATATATATATACACACACACACACACACACAYATATATATATATATATATATATATTGAGAGAGATATTTGTTTAGTAATAAAGTTGTAAAACTAAATAATATGAGTAATAATAATGATAAGAATATTAAGGAATCTGACACAAACTCAAGAATAAAAAATACTACATATAAAGATATGTCTCCTTCAAAGGATGATGTACATGTACCATTTTTCATCCTCAACACACACCTTGACTTTAAAAACACAATAGTGAATGGACCAACCATACGATATGTAAAAAATTACATAACAAACTTAAAGACTTTAAATTTTTATAACCCAATAGATAAAATTATAATGCAATCAAAATCACAACATGAACATATATAAAATTATAATACGACTAAACTTACGATAAGAACATACTTAAAAATATAATCCAATCAAAATCTTGATACAAATATACATAACATTCTAATACACTCTAAATTACAAAACAAACTTGCATAAAATCCTTACCTTAGATCATAATCATAAATTCCCATAACCCAAACTTGAAAAATTCAAAATTTCAAGACTTGATATATAAACGTTAAAGAACTCGAAAACCTGCAAACCAAAAAACATTCAACATAAGTAAAAGTTACATAGTGAACTTGAATATTTTTTATCATCTCCTAATACATAAGAGTTACATTGCAAACAAAAATCACGATACAAACATAAATAAAATTATAATGCAATCAAAATCATAAAACTAATCAATATAAAATTATTACCTTATATTGTTACCAAAAAATCAAATATTGAACTTGAAGACTTCTTCAAATCTTCATGACATAATGCATAAAAACTATAATGCATAAAAACTATAATGCAATCTAATTAACGATACAAACATAAATAAAATTACGGGAGAAGTGAAAAAAATAAAAAAACCCTATGAATATTATTAATAGTAAAATAGAAGAAAAATCAAAGAGAAATAAAATAAATTTAGAGATGTATAGGATTGAGATAGAATTTAAGAGGGTGTGAGAGATGAAGATGAATAAATAATTGTTGTTTTTATATATAAAAATATATGATTTATTGGAAAAAAATGAATGGTTTGGAGTTATGTCATTAGAATTAATATAGAAGAAGATGAATGGTTTGGAGTTGAATGCAAACATTTAAGAAAAAAATATAAATTGACAAAAAAAAAAAATAGTAGTGGATATTGAGAGAATGAAGGAGAAAAAAGAAAAACGAGGAGGCTTTAGAAGAGGCCACCTCAGACATTAGTTAAAAAAACCTCTAAAATCCCAACAAAATTAAAAAGAATTGCATATTCGGATTAATCGTCTCGAAATAAACTTGGAAAAAAAAATGTAACCATTAAAAAAGGACATGTTGAAGTTTGGTGATGCTACATAAAAAATTATAACAAAAAAAACTTTAAAATCTCAAAAAAAGTCAAAAGAAATACATACACACATTAGTTTTCTCAAAGTATACTTGAAAAAGATAATCATTACAAAAACATGTTGAAGTTTGTTGATGCTACATCATGGTTGGTAGTACTTTCAAGATTCCATCATCAGATCATTAATCGAACCATTGTTGCCATGAAAACTCAAAAAATGTTGTCAAGAACAAACACTTTGTTTCATTGAAAAAACTTAGGACAATTATATAAGAGAAAAGTAAAAAAAAACAAAATTCTAAAATCTCAACAAAAATAAAAAGGAATGCATACCTGAATTAGTCTTCCCAAAATAAACTTGAAAATATATTTGTTGAAAAGTAACAATTTATGAAAATGAAAAACAAATCAAGTGATGGAGATGAAGAAAAATAGATTAAATGATGAACAATTCATAAAGAAGAGTTAGGAAAAATGAAAGTATTATATTAAATGCAAACATAAATGAATAATCAATATTTATAAAAATTAAAAAAAAAATTAAAGAAAAATGAATAAAAAAAAAGATAAATAACTTTCTAACATTTAGAAAAAGTAAAGTCATCAACCTTGATTATTCAACTATATTTTCGGTTGTCATCTAAACTCCCGAAAGCTTCTTTGGGAGCATGAGAAATAAATGATTATTTTAAATGGGTAGACAATAAAGGTGGCCACTTGGTATGGGGTAGGCCATTAGTGAAAATCGACCCGCAAGAAGACTCCCCCCACATAACCTGCCACCCAAATGCAAATCAAAAGGTGAAGATCACAACCTAAAAATGGGAAATTTCAAAATTATACGATCCAATCCTCCAATTACAACCCTCATTTTGATCCATGCTTTTCTTCACCACATATTCTAGATACACCATAAACTCCACCTCACACTTTGTTCGTCCTTTCTCAGCTAATTTCCACCTCTCATTCTGCTAACCTGTCTGTGACCCACTTCTCTCTTTCCTCATTTTCTCTCTCTAACCCTTCTGCTAAGCCCTGCAAGAACTGAAAATTGCATCTTGGTTGTTATAGCTTCTGGGTGTTGTAATCAGTTTTGAATGTTTTACTGATGTTCAGATAAAAGTTCTGTTCAAATTTGCTGATAATCGGCGATGTGCGGGTTAAGAAGTGAGTGCTGCTACTTGGTTGTCGGATTATTGAGCTTGGAAGGTGAATTGTTTGGCAAAAACTACAGCGATGTTTGATTGGGACGACGAACAGGTATGCAGAAATTCCTTCATTTGCTGATTCAGTTGCAATTTAGCCAATTTTGATGTCAAATTTCATGGATCTATTCTTCAGAATATGAATTTTTACTTTTTGCGTTAGAATCATTGCCCATGTTCTGCTATTAAGCCTTATTTTTTCTCTTTTAATCATGTTCATGTGAACGATGCTACTTGTAAATAGTAGTTGATGTTTTTTCCTTTCCTATCATCTAAATTGTGTGTGTGGATCTTATATTCTCTTAAGGGGTACTAGAGACTAGAATTGATCACTAGAATTTCTATAGAGTGGACACCATTTCTATAGAATGATTTAGTTAAGCAGAAATCCTAATTCTCCTAGAAATACTAGAATCCTAAATCCCCTTTTATCTTGGTGAATAATTTGGTATTTTATATATATATATATATATATATATGTATGTATATATATATAATATATATATATATATATCTATATTTATATGGTCAAAACAAAGAAACATCAAAACAAGGAAACAAGAAAACGGTTAAAACACGTGCAGATCACATGTGATTTTATATCGTTACAGTAAAGGTCAACGCAAGGGTTAGCGGCCCACCTGGCCCGTGATTTCAGGTTGCGGCTAAAGTAGCGTGAATCACATGTAATTTTACACTTGATTTTCAAATAAGTTTCCAATAATGCCCTTGTCTTTCCACTAAAATCTCCCTTTGACCCTGCAAAGAGATGATGACCTAGGAAGTATCACTGTCAATGCATCCACCCTTACCTGAAAATATAGTTTCTGCAGTAATTTTGGCTATGTTTCGCAAACTAGCTGAGAAGTTAGTTGTTGGCTGAAAAGCCAATTGTTAGCTCAAAAGCTAGCTGTTGGCTCATAAATTAGTCATGTTTGATAAAAACTAGTCTATATATCTATATCAAAGGAGAAACCAAATAGAATGACTTGGCACTATGAGATTTGAATATTCCTCAAATCTTGAAATGTGGTTAAATTTGCTTAATCCCACATTGGTGGGAAGAAAGAAAGTAGAAGGAATGAAATGTGTATATATATGAAAAGAGGAGTTGATTTTTTTGTTGCAAGTCATGATGTTGGCTCAAATGAGTCAACCTTTTCATTTGCAATTGCTATTATGAGATTTCAGTATTTCTTAAATCTTGAAATGTGGTTAAGTTTGCTTATTCCATATAAAAAGATGACTTTGAAATATTGAGATGGCATCTTGAGAGTGATGTATTTTAAAAATCTTGCGTTGTAGTTGGTTTTTGGAAATCTCACATTGATGAACAAATGATACATTGATAGAGTATGATAAGTATATATAAAATAAGCATGTGATGCTTTCAAAAATTAAAAGAGCAATATAACTATGTAAGCCATTGTTTGGCCTCTAATTTTGGAGTGATAGTTTTTTTATTACAAAATAACAACAGTCAGAGGTGGCATTATAAAATTTGAGTATTCTCAAAGTCTTGAATTATAGTATTGTTTAGTTTTCTTACATTGGTAAGAAAATAATATATTGAGAAAACAAAGTTGAGTATTTCTTAAATCTTGAAATGTGGTTAAGTTTGCTGATTCCATATAAAAAGTTGACTTTAAAATATTGAGATGACATTTTGAAAGTGCTGTATTTTAAAATCTTGCATTGTGGTTGTTTTTTGGGAACCCCACATTGATGAAAAATTGATACATTGATAGAGTATGATAATTATATATAAAAATAAGCATGTTATTCTTTTGAAAATTAAAAGAGCAATATAACTATGTAATTCATTGTTTGGCTTCTAATTTTGGAGTGATAGTTTTTTTATTATTATAAAGGAACAACAATCAGAGTTAAGGTCATTACAAAATTCGAGTATCCTCAAAGTCTTGAATTATATAGTGTTATTTAGTTTTCCTACATTGGTAAGAATATAATATACTGAGTTATGCATTTCTTAAATCTTGAAATGTGGTTTAAGTATGCTTATCCCGTATAAAAGATGACTTTAGAATATTGAGATAACATCTTGAGAGTGATGTATATAAATTTTTTGCATTGTGGTTGGTTTTTGAAAATCCCACGTTGATGAAAAATTGATACATTAATAGAGTGTGATAAGTACGAAAATTAAAAGAGTCATATAACTATGTAAGCCATTGTTTGGACATTAATTTTGGAGTAATAGTTTTTCTTATTATAAGGAACAACAATAAGAGTTGATGTGGCATTATAAAATTTGAGAAATGTAAAATGACCTAAAAGGACATCTTGAAAATTAATTGGAAAATGGGGCATAATTGAAAAAAAGGAATAAAGCCCAAGAGCTTATTGAAACGCTATTTGAAATAGCTTTTTGAAAAGCTAGCTTATGGCTAATCGAAGGGGCCTTTTTCAATAATCTCAAAAAAAAAAAAACTAGCTTATGGTTGCCAAACGTGGCCTTCAACTTTGCATTGTTTGAAAATTTGTGTATATGCAGATGAAGCCTTATGGTTAACTTATAAATCACCACATGACAGTCACAAATATTTTCAGCTTGCGAATGTCATATGGGACGAGGCAGGTGAAAATGAAGATCACATTGTGCCATATCCAGATGAAACTTATGAGAAACCTTCAGGGCCTTATGGGGAGCACAGTAAGGTGTCAGACCAGGATGCTGCTAATGTGACTGAAAAGACACTTGTTTCTATAACTGATTCGCGAGTAAGAAGCAATATACATTATAACACACATGGAACAGTTTCCACTGATGGATTTGGCTCACTGCCTGATTTATCTCCATCGAATGCTACAAAATTGGACCTGGAACACACGGGTATTATATATGAATGTAGCTTAAAGTTCCGATCCTGATTCTTCAAGAGTTGCTAACTTGATACACGTCACACATACATATGTATGTTGTGCATTTATAGTTGGTAGATTTTGGGTTCTAAAATGTTCTGATTTCCAACAGATGGAAAAGCTCAAGTAGATGACGGTGCTCAAGTTTTTGACAATCAGCCTGAGGACAAAGAAGCGAATAATTTTGTTGATTACCGCTGGGCCCATGTGGGGAGCTTCGATGATCTAGATAGAATATTAAGGTAATGTACTAATTGTTGTGGAATGACTTCCTCGGATCTATTCTTTCTGGTATTTCTAGAAGCACTCATTTGTGAACTTTTCACCATAATTTATTCAATGGAAAACTTCATAAGGAGATTACTAGGAAGAATGCAAGGAAAGAAGGTAACTATAGTTAGTTTACCATGCTCATTTTACTGTGCAGGGAGTTCAATAGAATAGATGTACATTTTGTCGCAAAATTTTAAGATACTTGACATGGGCTTAATTTTTCGAATATTGGGAAGTTTTGCATGGGATTTACTGTGTTGGTTTGGTTTGGTTGTTTTTTAAGCTTTTACGTTACCTTTTGCACTCTTCAATAAAGTCACATGACAAGAACACATTTTTTCTTCTTGATATACTTAATTACTTTAGCTTTGTTGGTAACGATGGATGCTAAGATCAACTCAAATATTGTAATCAAGATTTTGTGTATAGTAAACTTGTAGTCAGTTCATTGATAGCTGATTAGTACTGTGCTTATATTTTATCCTTAAGTTATTCATCTGACCCAATATCCTCACAAGTGATGTTTTGCAGCAACGATGACCTGGTGTACGGAGATGCAAACATTAGTAATTCAGAGGCGTTGTGGTCATCTCCTAAAGATGTTATTGGTTATCCAGAGAAATCTGAACTCTTGTCGATCGACTCCCCGAATTTGCGGTTAGGGGATTTAAAAAGTGATAGCCATGGAAAAACTAATGATCACTTATGTCATTCAACCACAAGTTTGGCGAACTTGGAGTACGGTGGAGGCAAAAATGAAAATTTGCCAAAGGAAAAGGTAATTATTGTATAAATTTAATGTTTTCGTTTAGTTTGGATAAAATCCTAAGCATGTTCATTCTTTTTATGCACATGAGCTACATATGGAGAGGTATCACAGATTTCTCAGTTTTCACAGTCAGCTTCAGAAATTGTCGGAAGAACCCCAACCCTTGTTTGTTCGATTCGTGATGTCAATGTTGCAATACCAGATAAAATTGCAACCGACAAGGTAATTCTAATCCCAGAATTTAATGGAACTCGCTGTTGGTTGCTGCTTCTGAGATAAGTCCATGGTTCTAAAAGGCGTGCCATGACTTGCTATGGTGGGAGGTGCGTCTCCGATGCCACATTAACCCCCGTGGCGGCTGTGTACCGCATGGTGCGTGCCATTGCATGTTATGGAGCAAGTTTTTTATAACACTTTTATTTGACCTTTTGATTTTTACTTTTTTTTCTTCTTAAAGTTTGCCTTATTTTTTTTTTACTTTGTTACGAGCCTTTTGATATAACAATTTCTGTAAGCTTTACATATATGTTACCAATATATATTTTTTCTTGTTTTTATATGAAATTAAATTTTTCAATATCATTGAGTAATAGTAGAAAACATATATTATGTATAATATATATATATATATATATTATACATATATAATCATATATACAGGGGAGGTTCAAATGAGAACAAGGTCAAAATACAAGAACACCAATAAACATCATGAAAAACTGTAACAATATGGATGCCAAACTAAAGAGATAAAATGCTCGTTTTTTGGTATAATTTGTTTGGCTCCAGTTTTTGTTGTATTCCGCCAATTTTCGATTAAAAAATTGGTTTTCTTTTGTTTTAACAAAAAACCACACTTTTAATCACATCCGCTACATCATCTCATCTTACGGTTGATATCTATTCTCATATTTTCACCCTATTCTCGTTTGAACCTGCACCTATATATACATATATATAATTATATATTACTAAACCCCCAAAAGCACCAGGTGCCTTCATCTGCTTTACTTTCCATTTCAATAAGAAGTGAAAGGCAAATTGGCCAAAAACCTTACCACTTGAATTGTAAGTGAAACAGACAATATGGCAGGGTCATCCAACTTTAGTTTAATCAAAGGAAATCTCAAACAATCAACAAATCATCAAAACCTTACTAGTTAATGAATCTTGCAAGTTGTAAACCATAGATAACCATTAATGATACCCCGTTAACCACAATATGCATCAACAACTTTATAAGAAGCAGAAACTTCTTGACAATGGCTTTTCAGCACCAGCAACAGCAGTGAAGAGTTTATGATTTCCTAAGAGAAACAGCAGAGATCAACTAACCCCGTCATCTAACACCTGCAAAAATAGGCTGAGAACTTTCTTTAGTAACCTTCGGTGTGTTTCTTCTGTGATTTTTTTCATGTAGTTCTCTTAAAGGTTTGGTAAACATATGCCCTACTACATTGCGAGGGAAGAATTTACTAGTTGCTACTGTGGGACAGTTGTCACTTTATAGCTGTTCGCTTGTTGACTTGTTGGAGTCCAACATTGGCTAGACTTGGACACTTTATCTTCAATATATGTTGGAACCCCTCTTGTTTGCTCGAGGGGTCTTTGGAGAGTAATCTAATGGGGTTCCACTTACATGCACATGGTATATAGAGCTAAGGTCTACCATTGGGACATCTTTGCCCATTCAACCTTCGTTAGAGGGGGCGTGTTTTGAGTCCCAACTTGGCTAGACGTGGATCATTTCTCCTCTGTTGGAACCTCCCTTCTCTCCTCAAGGGCTCTTTTTGGGGAGTAATCTAATGGGGTTCCACATATTCTCACATGGTATAAGAGCCAAACTCTACCACTTCAACCTTTGTTGGAGGAGTCCCATATCGGTTAGACTTGGGACCATTTATCCTCATTATATGTTAGAATCTATCTTTTCTCCTCAAGGTCTCTTTTGGAGAGTAATCTAACAGGGTTCCACATATTCTCAAACCACTGAAGTTACCAAACTACCCATGACTACTCCATGATTTTGTATTATTTTATACCCTTTAGAATCCACATGTTAGAGCTGACAATATTTCTTTTCATTTCCTTAGCATGTACAGATGGGTGAGCAAAGCCAAAAAATGGAAGGCCAAAAGAGTGAAACTAGACAACCCCAAACGTCTTGTGTTCCCTGGTTTTCTCTTGGCAATCAAGGTAAAGAATTTGAAGGACATTATAGACAACATATCAAATATTCTTCTTCGAAGGCAAGAACTCAACAAACTGAGTCTTCTACGTACAAGCAGTGCATGCATCCACTTCCACATTCCTTTGGTTACAAATTGAGGGAAAACCAGCATTCATCGTTGCCTTCATTGCCACAATTTCATTCTGGTGAAGAATATCAACAGGTACCATCTGGGAGCTCATATATTTCAGACAGAACTCCAAAGACAGCATTGATGCCTACGAGCATGATGACACCTCAGGAAAAAGTCGAAAAACTAAGGAGGCGCCAGCAAATGCGGGCATTGCTTGCTGTCCGTAAGCAACAGCAGCAATTTAGACACCAAGTCTCCTGTAACGGTTATTCAAATCTTGGGAAATATTTACACGAAAGCCAAATGCAGTTTACAAGAGGAGGTAACGTGGAAATCGATGGAAATCTGAGCACTCTCATGTCTCTTGATGGTAGTTCACCTCTTGAACAGAGTGATTCAGATGAAACTACATTGGAATATACCATATTACATCAACTTCAAAATGTAATCTCAAAGGTAATATAAAATATCATATTCATAGGAAATATTATTTTCCTGCTATTTAGGATAGAGGGTAGGTTTGCATACATCTTCTCCCCCCCCCCCCCAAAAAAAARAAAAARAAAAAAAWACCCTGCCTTCTTTGATTTAGGAAGAGTCTTTCATGCCATGGCTCTTGATCTTTCGAGGCTCATGAAGAGTGTTCTTGCAGTTGGATATTGAAATAAGGCTTTGTATCAGAGATAGCTTGTTTCGCTTGGCTCAAAGTGCTTCGCGGAGGCAATATGACGGTGACACAGTCGATGCCAACAGAAGAAGCAGAGATGAAGCTAGTGTTATCGTGGAAGAAAGATTAACTAGTACAAAAAGGTTAGTAACCATACTGCTTTCTTTCTATCAGTGATGGTTTCATGAGACCAGCTTAAGGCTCTTGGATGAGTTTTTCTTAATCTCGTCGAACCTTCAGAGGAACATTTATCTAATATAATTTAAAATCAAAGTTGTATTAATTTGGAAGTTGGAGAGTGAGTATTCCATTTGGATAAGTTTTACTTGGACACTAGATATGGAACATATGCAGTATTTTCATTGCACTTCCGCTAGTCATCTTATATGTTCTTTTCATGAAACCCTTTATAAAGTGATTCGATATACCTAGAAGATCTAGCTTTCTGACTGCCATTCATCCGTATATGACAGCTCAGCAAGAACCGCGGATGGAGAGACAAAAACAAACCCCATAGACCGTGCTGTGGCTTATATGCTTTTTCATACATCACCTGGGGAATTTCTGCATTCACCATCGAGTCCTAAACAAACAACCACCACTTCAACAAACCTTCCAACGGGATTTCTTAGTGAGAACTATGAAGATGATCAACTTTCTTGTTTATTTGAGCAAAGAAACAAAGAAACAGCCGGTGGCAGTGGAGATGAGATTGAAGCATCTTCACGAGGGGCACCATTTCTTTGAAGCTATGCAACGGTAATACCTTCATTATGCCTTCTCCAGTTTCATGAGCTTCTAACATGTGTAACGAATCAATCATTGGTTATATATATATATATATATATATATATATATATATATATATATAACCAATGATTGATTCGTTACACCAACTTGGCCTTTTATTAAAATGCATCAAAATGCAACGAAGTTTGCTTTAGTTCCTATTTAATGTAATAAAGAATTATTTTCTCAATCAATGTAAGAAAGATTCATTTATTTTCTCTTTAATATAAAAAGTTTCAAAATTCTCAATTTTTTACTCATTTTGCTGCCCTCCCCTCACCGGGCCCAAGGGGAGGTAAATCAGCGCATGCATTAGCAGAACGTCACTCATATGGATTACACCCACACCTCTACTGCTAGGACAGATCCACATGGACTAGTCTGTTGATCTTGTAACATTTGATGACGTGGATGTCAAGTTTATCTACCACTTTGCCATAACCTTTTCTAATACGGGCATCCACGTCATCAGATGTTACAAAATTAACTGCTTACCAACCAAAATGGGTATAAATTAGGAAATTTGAAACTTTGTTATATTGATTGATAAAAAATAATTCTTTGTTACACTAAATAGGAACTAAACAAAAATTTGTTGCATTTTCCCGATTTACAACTATCATTCTTGTAAAAATGCAAAATAACATTATCTTTTTCAAGATTTTGAGTTATTTTGGACAATTAGCAAAAATATTAATGGAAAAACAACCGTTGTACTGTCACTTACATTTTCACAAACAAAATGGTTTTCTTATTAAGCAGAAAGCCAAGTACATTGCTTTGGATTCACCGCGGATGATCTTGTTTCTCTGTAAGCTGATTAAATCCTTTCGAACACGGTTTTTGGAATCGTGGAAGCCTTCACCTCAAAGGAGACATCATATAGATCAGAAACTATAGGGAATGGCAGTCAATGGTCTTAGATACTTTGTATAATCTTTAAATTACTTAATTTCGACAATGAGGTTGAGTTTCTGTTTACACTATCATCTCCTCTGCCCAATGTTGGTTAAGTTATAACATAGATCATACACAATATTTTCGTGATTACCAAAGGGCCTTTGGCCTAGCGGTATCGTAGCCTTTGGCCTTCTAGGAGGTTAGGGCTTCAAACCTCACCATAGGTGAGGAGGGTGTATGAGTTTATTTGTTGCATTTGCCGTATATAAATATTATATATTTCAAAAAAAAAATATTTTCGTGATTACTGAATATTGGCTACATATGTGATCTTGAATGCTACTCCTGAAATATCTGCATAGATTTCAGAACCATATAAACCGATAAGACCTTGGATTTGCTATCCAGTAGTTCAAGTCCCTAGGGGTCAATGGAGATTTGCCTAGCTAATAGCTTCACGGTTCGAATACAAGAAGGAATAAAAAACTCCGTTTTTGCCACGAGGTTCAAATGCGGTGACTCCTGTCCAGGCTATCGTAAAAGGGGTGGTCTTTCTGGAATCGCTTGCATAGCGGGCTGGATATTCAGGTTAATAAAGAAAATAAAAAACAACTCCATTTGAGTTCCTTGGACATTTGTTCAAAACCACCATTAATGGTGGTTGATACAGCATGTTTTGAGCCCTGAAAACCGCAATACAAGTTTCATCAATTGATGTAGAACTCGATGCTAACAAGCAATACGAGATTAATAGACAAAGTACGGTTAAAAATTACATCAAATTCCTGACCAAAATATTTAACGTGAACTTCAAACTCTAACCATATTTATTACTAAAAATTCTCACCGTTTTTGTAATTAATCTAAAAGTTTGATCAAATGTACGAACCATTTGAATTTCTAGATAAAGTCAGAACTAAAGAGCCATTTATCAAACATTTACCCGGTAAGGGCTTACCGGTAAAATCTAACACCATTATGTACTTACCGGGTAAAAATTTAGTCCACCAAAACAACATCTTATGCAACAATTTACCCGGTAAGTGCTTACCCGGGTAAGAGTCGTCGCTCTCACTTACCGGGTAAAACTCTTGGTCCTTGTCTCGCTCTTACCGTGTAAGATTCTTGGTCCTTACTATATTGATCCGGTGAGGTAATGTTACTTGATAAGCACTTACCCAGGTAAACATTTAGTAAACGACCCCTAAGTATGATTTGTAGTCAAAGTATATAGTTTCCTCGTTCAATACAAAGTCAAATTTTAATACCTTTTATGTTTTAAAGGGTAGGTTACACTTTTCGTTTCAATAATTTGTTAAAAGTTGTGATTTTCGTCTATATGATTTTGTAATTCATTGCTATTTTCGTACTTATGAGTTTCAATTTATTGTTGTTCTCATTCATGTGCTTTACAATTTTTTACTGTTTTGATCCCTTATATTTAAAAATAGGAATAAGTTAGGCATGAGAATGGATCCCGACCCATCCTGGAACCCGATCCACCCGCCTTGATCGGGGACGGGGATTCCCCGCTAAATCGGGGATGGGGACGGGGATCCCCGTTTGTCTCAAACCGGGGATGGAGAAGGGGAAATGTATCGTACTCCCTGCCCCGCCCCACATACCCGTTATATATATTAATTAATAAATTATATATATCTATATCGGGGCTGGTTCAAATACTAACCAAGATTATCGTGTTAACTTTGTTAACCGATCTTGGTCGTTGATTTGAACATCCAACGGTTGTCATTTATTGAGACTAAAAATTTAATTATTTAATTACCATATTAATAAAAAATTAGGTTCACAATGGTTCAGAGGGTATAATTGTAAAAAGTGAATGATCTTAACGTATCATATTTTGTCAGCCTATTATGTAACTTCCAATCAATAAAGAAACCGTCAATTTCATCGATCAATATCTTAAATCAGTAGCTAAAAATTAGGTTCATAATCTCATCAAAACAATTGAGAATTTGGAAGGATTACCATGCGACGGCATCCAGATAAGATTAAAACATGTGTGTGAACCTAATGAACAATGTGTGAACCTAATGAACAATTGAAAAATTAGGGTCATAATCTTCATCAAAACAATGTGTGAACCTAATGAACAATTGAAAAATTAGGTTCATAATCTTCATCAAAACAATGTGTGAACCTAATGAACAATTGAAACATGTGTGTGAACCAAATGGACATATTGTGTGAACCAATTGAACACATATGTGCACGAGTGAACACATATGTGCACGAGTGAACACATATGTCGACGTTTGAGTGAACATGTGCGTGAACGGTTTGATCATTTTCTTCATTTTCGGAATTCGAATTCCGAATGTATTTGTAGACGCTTTTAACTTTTTCATTCTCATTGTCGTCGATCTGTTTTATTCTATGATTATCCATATTACTCGGACTATAACGGAATCTTTACAAAATGGACGTTTTTGAAATTTACAATATCAAAACCATTGTAGAAAGAATGAAATGTAAAATTCAGTAAGATAAACAAATGTGAAACTTCATGTCATTATTATATGAAGATCAATTAGTGATATTTTAAGATTTGTAACTCTCAATTAAAATATTGGAGAGTTACATAAAAATGATAAATTACCTAAATACCCTTACACTTAATATGTGAGTTACATTTGAACCTAACTAAAAGATGGAACATGATTGGTTGATGTTGGTTAGCATAGTTAACACAAAAAAATGGGTTAGTATTTGAACCAACCTCTCTCTCTCTCTATATATATATATATATATATATATATATATATATATATATATATATTATTTATTTCAACTAAAATGGTAATTCATAATTTTCTATTTTTGAACTATTTTTATTATCTAAAATTGTTATTTCTTGGATGTTAATATGTAATATTTTTGATGTCAAGTCAAAATATAATTACTTGATAAGTTTTGTACATTATTCGGTATGGTTTTATTGACTTTTATGTTTTTTGGATTAAATTCATTTTTTTTGGTTTTAGGTAACTTATTATAATGTTGTGGTTTTTTTGTATTAAATTAGATTCATTTTGGTTTTAGGTTTATTGAAAATGGTTAAGATTTAAACATGTATGGTTTCTTACATATTTAATTTAAAATAACTTACATAAACGTAAAAAAGAAAATCCCTGTTTCCAAGTTGGGGATCTCCGTTCCCCATGGGGAATGGGAATGGGGATGTGATTATATTCCCCGGCGAGGATGGAGGGGGATGGGGATGGGGATAGAGATAAGTAATCGAGGATGGGGATTGAGGTCCCCGCCCCATTCCCATGCCCAGAACTAGTTCAAAGAACGAAAAAAAGCAAAAAATTGTAAACCATAGGAACAAGAATCGTAATTTCTAAACACATATGGACGGAAATCAAAATTATTAATAAACCACAAGAACGAAAATTGTAACTTACTTTTTTTATATCTCTAAGTTTTTCCATATTACCACTATAATCCCCTGGATTCCTAGTCCAAGGGTTCGTTTGGTTTCCAAAAATGAAATGGATTGGAGGATTTGGATTTCAAATCCATTTCAATTTCATGTTTGATTTACAGGATTGTTCGGATCTGAAATCTTTTATTAGATGGATTTGAAAATCCTTAGGAGAAGGTTGGTATTTCAAATCCCAATCCGGGCGGATTCCATAAAAATGTACATCGCTTCTCTAATGTGTGAATACGCGGAGATCTCTAGCACTACATAAAATATGATTTTTTTTCCAGCGGTAAATTACCGTGCGGATCATGGACATACATGAAAAAGGTCAACGAAAGCCATAAATCCACAACTGATTATTTGAAAGAAAATTTCTGGTGGATAGGAAAATTTATTTATTTATTAAAAGGTAATTAATTTTAATTAAGTAAAATTACCGGCAGAATTAATTATTTTTTAATTAAAATACGTCGGTAATCCGTCAGTAATTTTAATCAACAAAAATTAATCACTTATTTATTTAACTTTAAAAACATGATTTTGGTATTACAGATGGATTACCGGGGACACCCTCATCTGCCGGTAATACCAAACAAAGTTTCATTATAAAAAAAACATGATTTTGGTATTATTAGCAGATAGGGTGTTTGCCGGTAATATCAAAACCATTTTTTCGACGAATTACTGGTGGATAAATTCCATCCGTCGAAAATTATATTTTTATCATTTATTTGTTGCATCGTGGTCTGCCGGTGATTAAGTATACGGTTTTAGAAAAATCGATAACAAAAAGGTAATTGACCAATAAACATAAATCCTCTATAAACAACCAAATAATTACAAAAAAGAAAAAGAAAATTTAAATCCCAATTCAAAACCAAATCCTACAAACCAAACATGATTTATAAATGAATAAAATTCAAATCCATTCTAAATCCTACAAACCAGACACTTAAAAGGATTACAAATCCATTCCAATCCAAATCCAAATCCCTTCATAAAAAACAATCCTACAAACCAAACATATCTAAGGTTTTTGATCGATGGGGAGGCATTTGAGCTTATTGATGTTGTCAAAAGTAACCCAAGGTGGAAATCGGGGAAATTGTGCAGAAGTGGTGAAAGGGAAAAGGGAAGGGGGTGGTGTTGCCGAAAGGGGAGAGAGGCCGGAGAAGGGGGTTGGGAAGGGGGTAAGGGGAAACCGAAGCATGGTAAAGGGGGTGAAAGGGGGGTGGCACGAAGAGTGCACTTTGCTCTATGTGTGTGTACACACACACACACACACACACACATATATATATATATATAGACTTGGGATCATGTGAGACCAGCCTGTTTTCGTGAGACCCGTGAGACCAACATTTTACACTTGAAACTTCACAGTAAAATGCTGTGAATGTGACTTTTTAAAACCTTCACAGTGTTTTTGTTGTGAAGGTTCGACTTTTTTTAAACCTTCACAGTGTTTTTGCTGTGAAGGTTACGTGTAAAAATGTGGTCTCACGGGTCTCACAAAAACAGGCTGGTCTCACATGAACCCAACCCTATATATATATATATATATATATATATATAGGATCACGTGAGATCAACCTGCTTTTGTGATACTCGTGAGACCACTTTTTT